ATTTTAGAAGCTATTTTAATTAGGAAAGGTGTTAAGTATGTTCTCAGACCCTCGGTCAAGCTGGGTTTGACTTCTTTGCCAACTGGCTATAAATGGACTCTTAACACTTCCTTGTAGAAGTCAGCAGTGGTAAATGCTTTTCCACTGAGCTGTTTTCTTTCTCTTTCATCTTGTACCTAAAAGCAGAATGAGCAACACTGCATTTTTAGAACGGAGCGTATCACTTTGCATACCCTCTTCTGTCAGAAGAATCCTCTCATGAGAGCAGTCGTGTTTGTGACAAGCTGAACTGGCACAGACCTTTCCTGTCTGCCCTCCACGTAACCCCTCCATTTCACAGCCAGCGTTCTGCTCTTCTAGCCAGCTGCTGTAGATTTTCCTCTGGGAATAATGATGTGGTATGAAGAAAACCATCACTTGGTGAGGAATTTTTAGGACCGATTATAAAACCAGCATAGGTAATAGAGTTCAACTAAAATATATGGAAAAAAGAAGCAAATAAATGTAGTGTATGGAGAGATTTATGAAAAATTGGAAATTAGACTTTTTAAACTTAGAAATTACTTTTGTGATGGATCACACTTCATAAAGTTATTGTCACCACATTCCCCCCTGTGAGAGCTTCCCTGTCTATATAATTTGACTTCCTGAATAGCAGGCAACAACTTATGTTTTTCCTTCATTTATTCTTACAGTGATTTTCTATCAGTATCTCTGTCTAGTGCTAGAGGTAAAGGGACAGACCTTAACATAACATGGCAACTATGTGCTTTCAATGTAAAACAAACATGATGTTGTTTGACATCAATGAAAAAATTCATTTTAATTTCAGGGGGTCTTATTGCCCACAGTATGTAGCATCTCTTTTGTAATGTTGGCTCCGAGTTAATACTTAGGTGTAATTTTAGCTAGCTCTACAGAGGGTTTTTTTTATAACAAGTTGGTTTGCTTTGTTCTTTTAATGATTCTGTTTTCTTAAGTATGCAGTTCTAAAAATAAACATGTTAGAGCTAACTGGCTTGTCTTTTCCTGCCCTTTCTCCCTACCTGATTTTTCTGCCTCCTCTTTTTCATGTCGCTTTGATTTAGGCAATTTACTACATGCCTTGTTTGCAAAGGCGTAGTTGGCAGTCGGTATATCACAGATGCTTGCTTTTCCTCTGCTCTTTGAACACAGGGGTAGAGTTTTCCTAGTCCTAGCTTTTTACTTAAGAATGGGAAGGATCACAGAATCAACTAGGTTGGAAAAGACCCTTCAAATCAAGTCCAACCGTTCCCTAGCACTGCCAAGACCACCACTAAACTGTATCACTGGGGACCTCATCCACATGGTTTATGAATGCTTCCAGGGGTGGTGCCTCCACCACTGCCCTGGGCAGCCTGTTCCAACCCTCTCTGTGAAGAAATTGTTCCTAATATCCAACCGAAATCTCCCCTAGAGCAGCTTGAGACTGTTACCTCTTCTTCCAGCACTTGTTACTTGGGAGAGGAGACTGACCCTAATCTCACTGCAGCCCTCCTTTCAGGTAGCTGTAGAGAGCTCTAAGTTCCCCCCTGAGCCTGAACACAGTATGCTAGGTGTGGATGGTCACTGTCCTGGCCCTGCTGGCTACACTGCTTCTGATACAGGCCAGGATGCTGTTGGCCTTCTTGGCTGCCTGGGCCAAGAAATGCACAAGAGACAATATAGCAGAGACAATATAGCAGATCTCTCAGCATGTCTCATGTTAAGTCTCAGCTTTAAAATAAAGCATACATGTTTAAACCTTTTTCCTTGAATTAATTTACTGCAGTATGGTGGATATTTTGGTTAGTTACAAACTGTACCCCAAAAAAGTAGGAATGTGCAGGATCAGAACTGAAAGCCTCTGTGTTTCTTGCCTGACACCAATACTGTGTAACTTGGCACTAGTGGTTTAATTTCATTTAGCTATCTGTAAAGCAGAGTTAATGCCTGTTAGTTGTTTGTAGTAATGAGTCTTAACTAATGTAAGTCTTACCTGTAAACAGAAATCATGTTGAGAATATTGCATAAAGAGCAATGGCTTGAGGAGTGGCTTGAGGAAATAAATATTCCACTTGACTTTGAGTCAAAATGATCTTATTCCATACTCTTTCTAATCGCATCTTTGATATTTTCATGCTAAAACCAATTACAGCCACAATAATAAAGAATGAAATTACTCTTAGCTAAGTTCCTGCTTCGTAACACCTCACAGTTATCAAAAACATTTTTACATTGCAAGAGAAGGAACAATGGAATACAATTCCTACCTCCTAGATAGACAGAAAAGCAACAAGCAATGGACAAATACTTCTTTCTCGGTGTGTGTATTTATCAAATGCTGTCATGCTATGAGACAGCCTGGTCCTTTAATGATATATTTCTGTATTCTGTTGTCAACTGCCATACTGTTTGCACTATTAAGTAAATGCCTCCTAAAGATGCCCTGGGGAGCTATTACAGAGCAGTATGAATAATGCAAATTTCATATTTTGCTCTTGTTGTACATTCTGTCTGGCACAAAGGGACATTTAATACATCTGGCTACACAGTTTTTATAGGATGTGATGTTAATCTGGTATTTTCTAAACCTTTCTGAATACTACAAATGCTTATTTGTAGCCACTGATACTAAGGTTTTTAACTACTTTTCTTCACTTTTGTTCAAAATAATTTAGTGTCTGGTATCAGTTTTAGTGACTTTTTATGATGAGTTTCAGGCAAATAGTCACTAAAAGCAAACCTGAAACACCGGGGTCTTGGAATTTGCTCTGGAATTGTTCTTGAGCAAGCAGGGAGCAGGAATGTGGAACGGCTCTGAATTTCAAATGTTAAATTCGCAGTGGTCAGCTTTTAACCAATCCAAATTGAAATATGCTTACATGAATTTGTTCATCAAATTATTTAAACCCACAAACAGATGCAGAGAAATAGTGTCCTGTTTGCAAACCATTCCAGAACGGAGAAAAGGCTTAGGTATTGGTTACAAAGAGACTGCTGATTTGAGTTAAAAAGAAACAAAACACCCCAGCAAAACAAAATCAAGAAGCAAAATTAAACCAAACTAGCTCATAATTATGGATAGCAACATAAAATGTGACATTTTACATCACTGACCTAGTTTTGGATGGGCTATACGTCTAAGTGGCTATAAGGTCGTGTTAGCTACATGGTAAATGATAAAAGAGCACTGTAACATAACTTAGGACTATCTGTTTGCAGAGTAAATAACTGAGTAATTTTGAAAGGTAATTTCATTGAAGGAAACTGCAGTATATCCCCCTGTATTTCTGGAACAGAAGACAAAGACATTATTTTGTTTATTCAATTCTTGTGTCATCACAATCCTTGTATGTCAACTGAATTATGTTGGCTTAACTGAGACTTAAAGTGGTAATATTAAGCATGCCAAATAGAAGATGTCAGATCTCTCTTCCTCAGATACTCTATTTAATAAACCTGAGAATAGAAAAACATGGAAATATCAAGTATTCTTGTCTACAGGGTAGTTTTAAATTCCACATTTGCTGGCTTGCTTTCAGTTCCCCAGGATTCCTGCAATGTATTTCTGTTTGTCATTGCCATATTGTGTCATTTGGTTACTTAGAAGGACCTCTGTGATTCAAAACATGTTTAAATACCTACAGGTTTCTCTTTCAAAGATCCTAAGGTGAATGGTAGCATTACCAGTTTCCATAATAATAATCCAGGAAATTAAAACACAATTAACTTTGCTTTATTTCTGGTTTTATTGTGTCTGTGAGAAATTTTAAAGAGACAAACAAGAACAATATCGTTCATATGCCTCTTGCTTTTCTTTTCTTTATATCCATTGGCTTTTCTTAGCGCTTGCACAAACATCTTCCCCTTAATTTAACCGTAATGGTGATGCTCTCTGTATTTAACACAACGTTTCTTGCCTTATCAATTTTCAGGGCTAAATGGAACAGCTCTTTGTTCATGAGTAAAATTGAATTATTAATCACAGGGTTTATAACAAAATCATTTGTATGTTACTGAGTTTCAGAAAGTTGAGAGTTTGACATGAATAAATAAATATATTGGCACCGGGTGTAGCAGATAGTGGAGGTGGTTACTGAGCCTCAAAACCACTCTCATGAGTGGTACGATACAGTGGCTACACTGTATGACTTTGAAGAGTCAGACAAGAGGAATACCAGGAAGAATGTGCTTCTAATCATATTCTTCCATAACCGAAATTTACACTTAGGTCCTCATGACATCGGAAGAAAAGGGTTTTATTGTAATGGCACTCTCTGTGCTTCCCTGCTCTTCCTGGGTCTCCCTAGTGAGTACCATGGAGGATAAAAATTAGTGTTAAAGCAAGGAGGGCCCCCAGGATGATCAGGGGCTGGAGCACCTCCTGTATGAAGACAGGCTGAGAAAGTTGGGGCTGTTCAGCCTGGAGAAGAGAAGCTGCGTGGAGACCTCAGAGCAGCTTCCAGTATCTGAAGGGGGCTACAGGGACACTGGAGAGGGACTCTTCATCAGGGACTGTAGTGATAGGACAAGGGGTAACGGGTTCAAACTTAAACAGGGGCAGTTTAGATTGGATATAAGGAGGAAGTTCCTTACTGTAAGGGTGGTGAGGCACTGGAATGGGCTGCCCAAGGAAGTTGTGAATGCTCCATCCTTGGCGGTGTTCAAGGCCAGGTTGGACAGAGCCTTGAGTGGCACGGTTTAGTGTGAGGTGTCCCTGCCCATGGCAGGCAGGTTGGAACTGAATGATCTTAAGGTCCTTTCCAACCTTAACTATTCCATGAAGAGTGTTGAAAATAATGTCAGTAATAGAAACTTTTCTCTTTAGCAGTATGCACTGAACTATGAAAGTTAAATTATACTTTTGACACATTTTTCCATAACAAATCCAAACAAGGAATTATATTTGCATTTCCAAGCAACTTGGAAACTCTGTGAATTGCAGAATTATTATTGTCCCTGTTCTCTGAATATGCGTTGTTGGCTTTTTCAAACAGGCCTTGATGACTGCCTCCAACAATACATTAAAAACTTTGAAAGAGAAAAGATCAATGGTGAGCAGCTGCTGCACATCACTCATCAGGAGCTTGAGGAACTGGGAGTCACTCGGATTGGCCACCAAGAGCTGATTCTAGAAGCGGTTGATCTGCTCTGTGCATTGGTGAGTGATTTCTTGTATCACTTCATAATCTGGGTTTATGAATTTGCAAACCACGGTAAAAATAATATAGACTGCACTCCCCAGCCCTGTGCTTGTATGGACACAGTAGGTTTGCTTGGGCATGTAGAGGCTTCTTTGAGCTGTAAAGAAATTATATACATCCATTTTATGATTATGATGGTCTTTTGTTGCCCTTCCTCTGACTTGCTTGGTCTTGAGTTCAAATACTGTTGACTATCACTACTGGCATCCATATGGTTCTGTAATTATATGCCATATGCCCTTCTATTTCACTGACATTTGCTACACTGTACTAAACCAAGTAGACCTGAGTGGTTTACCCATGCCAATATCCAAAAGGATGGTACTAAGGAGCCAGAAGGTAATGCTAATTAGACTGGAAGATTGTTTAAAACGAGCTTTGAGACAAGATTGGAATGGTAAAATTGACTAAAAGTGTAGATAAAAGTGTCAATTTGAACTTTGGGGAAGAGGGTGTTTAGCAAAATACATGCATTTGGAAGAACACTGGGGCCTATATATAACAGGTCATTAATTCACCCAGCTTCTTATTTGATGTCAGAAAGTTCCTGTTTTCCTCTGTTATGTAATCCCTGCCAGCTAATAAAATGGAATATATTAACTTAATTCTAAAGGAAAACTAACCTTCTTTTGTGTAGGTGAACAGTGAAAGGATATTGGAAACACAAAAAATAAACCAATAAAACTACATATAGGTAAATTACATATAACATCCCCAGTGCTTTAATTCTTGATCAGTTCTGGTTTTTCACAAAGTAGGTTATCCTCTGAGATTCTGGTCCAGTAAATTTTCTCCAACAGGGAAACTGGCACTTAATAGTAAAATAGAAAACAAGCGGGGAAGAATGCACTTGAGCTGAGCAGAAAGCATTATGAAGTACCTCTTATTATGCATATGCTTCTTGCAAGTACCTCTAATTACAGAATATAATGGATGCAGCTTGAGATCCTCTCTTAAAACTAAGTAATGTATATGTCAAACCAGAGACATGCCTTTGGCCCTGATGCAGCTGTGCCTGTGCACTGGGGCATAGTGCATAACCCAACAGACTTCTGTGTTTTGGAAACATTTAAAATCGAGCTCCAGAGTTCCCCCCCCCCCCGACACGCTGTTTTCCACATGAAAGGAATCGTAACTACCCCACAGTGTTATGTTGTGTTATCTAAAGAACAACGCAGTGCTGTGCCCTGACACCAGGGAGACATAGCAGACCCAAGAAGTTTCCTCTGGCAAAAGAATGCCCTTCAGTGAAGTCTGCCCATTAGGAGGACCCTTGCTGGTTTTTCTTATTATTATTTTTCCTTCTTTAAACAAAGAAACTGTACCTCTTAAACACTGGCCCTGCTGCTGGTCAGTGGTGCAGCTCTTCTCTTACTGTGCTGTCTCATGACCTTATTTCTTCTTTTAAGGCACGGTGGGGATTTTCCAGCTCCTGCTATCATTTATTTAGCCTCCTGCCTTTAAGTCCTTACCATTCCTTTCTCACTCAGTCTCTAAAATGCCTGTTTTGGTTTTTTTTTCCTGCTTCTAAATTCTTATCTTCCTGCCCATTCCATGTGCTTTCTGCTGAGTGAGTCTGCTGCCTGCGGCTCTGCGCTTGGGGGTATTCTCCTGCTTCTGACATTTCTGCCTTCCTTCTGTGCACATCATATTCTTCAATTCTTGCAGCTTCTTACTGAGCCAGGATCACAAGTAAAAGTTGCACAAGATGAGGAATGTATATTTTTAATAGGCAATAATTTGTAAAGGTTTTAATCTACGTAGCCAAAAAGCATCATCAGGAATTTATCTTAATTCTTTATCTTAATGACAGTAATTGAACGGTAGGAGATCTGATGCTGCCTCTGTTGACAACTGACATGCACATCTGAAAATTACAGTTGCATTCTTGTTCTGTGCTAAATTTTGAAATAGGAATAGATTATTGCAGTAAAATATGATGTCTGGTTGAGTGATCAGTGCAAATTGTTCATCACTGCAGTGGGTTTTTAGACTAACTAGTCTAAAAGGAAAACAGAAGAAAGACCCTGCTTTTAAAAGTAATTAAGAAAAGGAGGAGAGGGTTTAGGGTATGCTTAAGCCATTTAACAGGAATTAACATATAAGAAATTATTTGAATTGGAATGTCTTAAGGAATGCATCATTTTACCCCTGATTTTCTGAGTTACATTATGAGAAAACTTAACACAGTTTGTGAGCAGCTAGAATACAGCCACAGTCAGTAAGATGTGAGTGCCTTAATGTGTGTGTGTTTGTATCTATGGGGCAGAGAGTGTGAAGTGTATTTGTAGATTTGTATATAAAGATACTTTAAATTTTTTTTCATAGGTTATTATGAAAAAACATGAGGGGTCACATCAATTCAGTCTAAAACTGACGTGTGGAGGGGTGGTAACAGCAGGAGCCATGGCTTGTTCTCTCCCTCCATCCCTCTGTTCACCCCATTCAGCATGGCATGTCCTCCCCGCCCCATGCTGGCAGAGCATCCATGATGCTGTGCACACTGTGTTTCCTTCCTGTCTGGATCACAGACAGCTGCACTCCTCGTTACATCAATACATGTCAGTACTACTTTGTGCTCTGCATATCACCCACTCACTGGGCCATGTCAGTGACCATTGATTTTTCTTTTCTGTACATGGATTTCTTAATTGATTTCTGTTTGGCGATTGGCAGTGGGCAAGTTACATGACCTATTTCTTCCAGGCAGTATTAGCAGGATGTTCTACTCCATCTTTGCTAAGGTTGTGTAACACATTAAACAGAGGCATCTCCAATGTACTGTAGAAATCTCTCAGGTAAGCTTAGGCTCAGTGGTGCATCAGGAATTGAGCTGCGTGTTGGTCATGAGTTTAGCTGCAGAACAGCTTCAGGAAACCAAGAGAAATTTGGCTGTCTCATCTCAAGCTCTTGGAAGGCACTGAACATGCATGCTATGGTGCCATATTTTCCATATGTGCTCCCTGCAGGGCTGGCCATCCCAGTGGCTGGCCAGCCAGTGAGCATACCCACTGGCTTTTAGGGGTAGGTGTTTCATGGGGTTCCACATCAAAGAGCAATGCTTCTGCTTCTATCTTAGTGATACAAGTCATTATACAGCATATATGTAACTAAATGCTGCCCCATAATGAGGGTTCTAAGAGCAAGAGAAAATGAAGAATAAAGGAGGCACTTCCTGTGTTTCTCTTCCCTGTCCTAGAGCACCTATTAGTTAGACTCTCAAATGCAAATTACTAAAGGCAGGAAGAATTACTATTATGCATTTGCCCTCGATATGATTTTCTATCCCCTTTACACAAACAAACATGACCCCCCAGTATTATGTCTTGGTTAATTGCTTCAAACCACCGTATTATTTCTGAATAAATTCAAAAGAGAGAGTACTATTGCTATTACAGATCATAATTTTTCTTTTGAGAGGAAGCTAAATTGAGAGCTTTCTGTAAGTAGGCATTATACATGAGAATTCTGCCTAGAGAAGATTCTACACTGGAAGAAGACAACCTACAGCAGGGAAAAAGGAAATGTAAGAAATATAAACAGGGAAAAAGAGAATTATTGGATCCCTCTGTGCACAATAGGAGTGGCAATGTGGGGGTTTGGAAATGATTTTAAAACGTTGGAATAATCCAGGTTCTGAAAAGGTAAAACTGAAGTGCAAAAGATGAGAGTATCTTCCACTGTAGGAGAGAAAATACTGATGCTTTCTTGGGGTTGCTCAGGGGTGAATTTATGTGGGATGAAAGGAAAAGCCATAGGTGAGCCATGCTTTCAGCTTTGATTCTTTGCCCATTCTAGAAAGGGCTTTAATTATGAAGAAAATTGGGAATGATGGCTGTGGTGGAAAAAATCCAATGTTAAACATTCTTCCCACTGTGGTCAGAAGCTGCTCTGCAGTTACTTATTTGAAGGGACCTAAATAACATTTAAGGACTAAAAAGTGCAGGCCAGTTAGGACTTGGACTGTAATTTTATTAAAGCTGAAATACTAATCTGGGTATGTATTAGAGGACTAGTTGCACAAGGACTGACTCTGAAAAAGTAGTAGGGCCTGGGGAAAATAACTCTTTTGATAGACAGTAAAATATACTGGACAGAAGAAAAAGGAGTACTTCTGATGTCAACAAGGGGTTGTTAAATCTGTGCAAGTAAATTTAATTCAATTAGGGCAGTATTGGAGTCAGTCTATTGTTAAAGCCTGCACAAATTAAAATATAAACAGTCTAGTGGAAAGAAAGACTGATAATGAATGGAAGAAAAAGGAATGCAAAATGAAAAGCATGCTCAAATATAGATTGTATCTAAAGTAATTAAAAGTAGTGTTAATTCATAGGCATTCAGCTAGTGAAAGTTAGGCACTGTTCTGTGATAGCGTTCAAGGAGAAATAAAGATTAGGAAATGTCTCTCTCTGCAGAAGCTGGCAATCCAAGCATGAGAGTTTTTCTGCTAGAAGGCACAATAAAGTCACCTGTGGGTCAACATGTTTATAACAACTGGCATGAGCTTCATTTGCTTCCCTATGTACTGCTTTTTTTTAAGCAACGGATGGGAAGCAGCTACCAAGCAAACACGCTTTTTTGTTTGTTCATTTTCCTACCGTTTCCTAACGCATTTCTGTATTAGGCATCTCCTTAACAAAATTGCACCAGGAATAGTGTTTTGTTGGTCGGACGGAAAGCAGTTTGCAGTAATTTGTTCTCAAGTATGCCATGCTGATGACGCAGCCAGCCTTTCCTTGCTGTCTCTGTATCTATCGATAAGGTTCTTTCTTCTGAGTTAAAATTATTCAAGTTTTGCCTGAATTAATACTACTTTTTAACGGCCATAACTACAAGGATCTCTCATGAGATCCTTTTAATCTTTCATTCTGCTGATGTGCTTTTTGATTTGTCAATGCTGTGCATATATTAGGAAGTATTTTTTCTTACTTTACCCAACAAGTAATCAAGTTTCATT